ATATATATATATTTGTCTGCAGAACCTCTTCATAGCTGACGTTCAGTCTCAGAGCAAGTTCTTATCATTTAGGCCACAAGGGAGCGCCATTGGCTGCCCATTAAGCAAATTCAAGAGATTTTTTTGTAACTACAAAATGTTGTATTATTTGTACTGAATCAATCACTCACAGAGGCCCACCAGCTGCTACAGTGATGACTCTCATCTGGGAGGGAATGTGTGTCACGTATGAGCTCACCATGCATGAAAACACAGACAAGTGTCTGAAAACCAGGAAGGAATTTTTTAAAAAAGAAATGAAAATAGAAATGAATGAACTTTGTTGCACGATTAACCCAACAAAGACTGTTGTTCCCTCATCTGCAAATATCGCAAGATGATTTTTTTGACCTTTAAGTTTTAGATGTATTTTATCTGCAGCTTTTTTATATATTTTTATGATAACTCCTTGTGGTTTTTGTGTCACTTAAGCTGTTTCAGAAAAACTGCAGCTGTTTGATGAGTCGTCACCAGAGTTTTATGTTTCTGTCATCATTTTGCAGCTTCTTTGCATCTCAGATCCATATTTCCACAACAACACCCTCCTTCCCGCGACACATTTGATCAATTCTGCATGTTTCGTGCTCGCCAACAGATGCCAAAAAGGCTTTTGTTCAAACAGCTGAACCTTTATTAGCACAAATATACAATACAATCAGCATGCCCTTTCTCCACTTTTCTTTATGTTTCACAGACAATCACTCTGAGTAAACGATTTTACAGTGTCAYGGCACACAGCGTGCCATAAGTGATGGTTTATGCATGAAGACAAGAAGCAGGGGAGGAGGAAGGCTAWGCAGCTGCTTGTAGTGGTAAAAGTTGCAGAAACTGAGTGGTGTTTGGGTGRATTGATAAACATGAGGAGGTCAAAGAATCAGACCAGCATCACCACAACGATGGGTCATATCTGCACAGAGAAAGGCAAGAAAAAAATCAAGTCTTTGTGATGCCTATAAAGCAATTTTACTTTTAACGTTTTAGGACAGCCGTACCTTGACAGTGGGAGTGTGTCTCTGCTTTCCTTCAACAGCAGATCTGAGATGAGTGTGTCCAGAACCTCCGGACTGGACCTTTTCCCATACCTGAAGTGCAAAAATACACAAAAACAAATTCAAACTGACATTTTGTTTGCTTCTGGTTGCCTTGAAAAGAAAAACCCAACAAAGCAGAAATAAACCTGATAACACTGAAAGAAGTAAAGGTCTTTAATTAGCAGCTCATTGAAAACTGAGCACAGTCAGCCTCCTGATCCAGGAGTCAGAGACATGAGTTGCATCGCAGGAGGTCATAATTCCCTTTCTGGGCTTTTGATGATAAGTCGTATCTGCAGCTCTGATCCCCTGGGTGGGCTAGTCTCCCACAGAAACTTCAAATCCACGACATTCAGAAGAMAAAACAGAAACTGGAAGGGGGGAGCGAGAAGTGCCAAGTGGAATTTATTTATGGTAATTAATATTTTTTTAATTTTACAAGCACTGAATTGATTCAAGTCATTCTATCAATATATTATTATTATTATTATTATTATTATTATTATAAGTAGTAGCAATTTTCTATTCTATTCTATTCTATTCTATTCTATTCTATTCTATTCTATTCTATTCTATTCTATTCTATTGTGAGAAGTGTAGACTGGCCCACCTCTGTCTCGTGATGAGGTTGATGTAGTGTCTCAGAGCTGAGTAGTACTTGGCCAGCTCCTCCGCCGGCGCGTCCTCCCCGGGGTTCTCCGGTTTGACCGGGTATCCCTCTGTCAGGGCACCCAAGCAGAGCAGCGCCCACAGAAGGAAGCCCAAAGACCCCAGCCAGCTCATCCAGTTAGGACGCATCTGGCAAAGCGGAAAAAGTCAGATTCTCCTGTTTTTATTATTATTTTTTTTTTCATCTCCAAGGTAAAAGTTGGTAGCCATTACGCACTGATTTTCAAAGMCTTTTGATGTTTAAATTGACTTTAGTTTGGTTCTAAAATGTTTCTTTAGAGTAGCTAAATCAAAGTACTTACATTTCCCAGACGGTTGAAACGAGATTTGCGCGCGCTGTCCTGTTCTCCTGCGTTCTTCTGAGCGCTCGGTGCGCGCTCGGGTTTATATCCGCGCGCGCCAGACGCGTCAGAGCAGCGCTCTGTTTAACCCAGGTCTTTGGCTTTTTTTTTTTTTTTGTGGCATGTGAACGTCACTGCTGATGCTGTCAATAGCTGCGTGTCTTTTATTTAAATATATCTTCTCTCTTTTTTAATCCTACAAATAAGTTCAACAATAACCAACTAAAAATAGGCTGGGGTTAATAAGATTTGTTTCCAACGAAACCAGGAGAGGATTAATTTTTTTAAAAGAACCTGGAAATCAAGCTGTTAAAGTGAGATTTTTTTAACATACAAACCCAATTAGACAACTTAAAGCATGCTACTGTATAATATGACACACTTAATGATTCACACGTCTCTCTTCGGAGATCTGAGTAATGCACCTCAATGGGACACAACTGATAGTATTGTTTCTCACATGGAGCATGTAGAGCAAAGAAAAGGTGGCACTCCATGACTCAGATGTTTGGATGTTTATGGGACCTCCTGCATGGAGGAAGCAGGTTTTTTTAAAAAATGGTTTCACAATCAAATCTTTCACCTCAATAATGCAATCTGATGCTGCAAAAGAATGTCAGAGATGCATCGACTTCAAATGAAACTTCCACACATCCTCACCCTTATAATGCCTCGGGTGATGGGGAACAAAAACAAAAACAAAACAAAACAAAAAGGTCTCAAATGAGCTGAATTAGTGTGCTAATTTCACTCCATCAGATGGGGAGAGAGRCTGCGGGGCTCCTGACAAAAGGCCTGAATGTGAGCATTGAGATGCGTCAAAGAAGAGCCCTACTTCCAAAGGGCCCCACTTAATAAGAAAACCCAAATAGCATTCCAAACGTATCAACCAAGAGCTTCATTTACCTCCCATTCATCATCCTTTTGTACAGCAGCTCGCAGCCATGTAATCTGCCCTAAATCAGCATTCTTCAGCAGCAGCTTGCTTTTTAACTTGGATGTGCCGAGTGCTTTTTTTTGTGTGTCACACAGGATGCAAAAGGAGAGAGGTGGGTGTGGGTGGGGGGGATGATGATGATGAGCACAAAGTCATGACTGCCTCGACGCCGTCGCAAGGCAGGAATTAGAAAGTTTTAGTCCTCTTCAGGAGACACAAGCACCCTCAGAGACTCACTTCAACAGGTATATATCATCACTCGCAGCCCCCAAAGCCCGAGGCGATGGCTGATGTGTGTGTGTGTGTGTGTGTGAAGCAGATGTATGAACAGGGAGATCAGAGGGTTTGTTGTGATGTGGAAATCGTCCGTCATATAGGAGGCTTTTAAGGGAGACATTTCAGTTGCAGCTTTTCAGGCAGAGGTTACCATCTGTGTGTCCTCTGGATGGACTGGAGCCGTCATCCGAACAGACAAGTTAAAATAGAAGAAACTGGGGAGTCATCAGTCGATCTGACTGCTTTGAGCAGCAAAACTTTTAAGCTGGGTGAACTAGAGGCCTAAGAGGACCCAGTAATTCTGAATATGATGAACCAATATCAAATAGCTATAAGGGCTAATGGGTTTTAAACCATTGGTGGCCCTTTAATAGCCAGTTGTAATGAACTTCAACATTTTGTGTTTAACTTCTACTAAACACAAAATATGTACCTTGTTTYGTTGATATGGCTGAGCACCACTAAAAAGCAATAACTCAGCTCTGTGCTGTATTTACGAATAAAAACAGCATTTTACGTCTTCTTATAATCATTAAAAAGTACTAAATTTGAAGTAAACAAACAGAAATACAGTGAAGCCCTGCAAAGTCACATTTCACAATTTGCTGACTCAGTCCAAAAACCAAATTATTGCACACTTACCTAAATATAATAAAATTGTCATTTTAAAGATCATTGTCTTGTTAAATCTCTGTCTGAGTCTTTTGCAGACTCCAACAGGTTTTCTTCCAGAATGGTCCTGTCTTTGGCGCCATCCATCTTCCCATCAAGTTTAACCATCTTCCCTGTCCCTGCTGAAGAAAAGCAGGCCCAAACCATGATGCTGCCACCACCACGTTTGACAGTGGGGATGGTGTTTTCAGAGTGATGTGCAGTGTTCTTTCTCCGCCACACATAGCGTTTTGCATTGTGGCCAAAAGTTCAATTTTTGTTTCATCTGACCAGAGCAGCTTCTTCCAGGTTTGGTATGTCTCCCAGGTGGCTTGTGGCAAACTTTAAGTGATACTTTTTTATGGATTTCTTTGAGAAATGGCTTTCTTCTTGCCACTCTTCCATGAAGGTCAGATTTGTGCAGTGTATGACTGATTGTTGTCCTATGGACAGACTCTCTCACCTCAGCTGTAGATCTCTGCAGTTCATCCAGAGTGATCATGGGCCTCTTGGCTGCATCTCTGATCAGTCTTCTCCTTGTTCCAGATGAAAGTTTAGAGGGACGGTCAGTCTTGGTAGATTTGCAGGGGTCTGATACTCCTTCCATTTCAATGCGATCACTTGCACAGAGCTCCTTGAGATGTTTAAAGCTTKGGAAATCWTTTTGTATCCAAATCCAACATTAAACTTCTCCACAACAGTWTCTCGGACCTGCCTGGTGTGTTCCTTGGTCTTCATGATGCTTGAACTTTAAACAGAACCCTGAGACAGAGCAGGTGCGTTTATACAAAGACTTGATTCCACACAGGTGGATTCTGTTTATCATCATCAGTCTTTCAGAACAACGCTGGATCATTCAGAGATCCTCGCTGAACTTCTGGAGTCAGTTTGCTGCACTGAAAGTAAAGGGGACGAAGAATTTTGCACGCCYACTTTTCACTTTATTTGTTAAAAAAGTTTAAAATATCCAATAAACTTTGTTCCACTTCACAATTGTGTCCCACTTGTTGATGATTCTTGACAAAAAATTAAAATAATATATCTTTATGTTTGTAGCCTTAAATGTGGCAAAAGGTTGAAAAGTTCAAGGGGTCCGAATACTTTTGCTAGGCACTGTATGATACCTTCAGTTGTTATGAAAAAGCTGTATATATGCCGTTGGCCTCTGTCTCTTTAAGAACTTCCTACCATTTCAGACACTCCCACTTCAGCACCACAATGCTTTGGGGGAGTGGTGCTCTGTGAGGCGGGAGCTGGGCTGCAGACTGAATAAGAATATTGAGGTTAGTGGGGGTGGTGGCCTTGTCTTGCTTTAGTGCGTTTCCCATGGATGCTTCAGCACGCTGCTGGGGATCAAACCTGTGATCTGCCTGTTGTAGTCAACCTCCTTACTGCTGAACCAAGCTGCCTCCTCAAAGAACAATAGAGTGATCAAAGGAACCATAACCAATTTAATGAGCTACTTACAATTGATATTTGAGATAAGTCGATGGTCAACCAGGTAGCCCCCTATTGGAGGGGGGTGAGTTTATGGAGTTTGTCTCTATTACCACAGAAAACAAGGGAGCAGTTCACAAAAGAACGGGCACAATCGACATTTCTTTTAATGTCCAATWATTTGAAAGGTTCTGAGTAAAAAATGAAATTTTGGAGAAAAAAATTCAACCCGGGTACTGAGAAATAGCAGTGTGACATAGTAAAAAGGGTTTATGGGAAATGATGTAATCAATTTTAATCAGCCGTAGCATTAGTTTGATTCTGTAAGCAATCATCTCCAGTACCGTCCAATGTGCTGATTAGACTGCTCAAATGGCTCCCCAATCATTTTCACAGTGATATACTGATGCACTACGTCTGTAGCCATACTGTAAATGATGCACATAATCATTTATTGATTGAAAATTTCTCTTACCAGAAATCTGCTCTGTTGAGCCCAACTCTTCTCTGAGAGCGGCGCTTTTTAAATGCAAATCTGCTTGTCTCCTCCTCTCATCAGCCTCCTGGTTTGTACAATAAGTTCGTTCCCCAAGATTTTGTAAAGATGAAAGGGCCTGTAATTTTCTGCCCGCCATGAATCACACTTTTCAGATTTACAGAGTGATAAGTGCAGAAGGAAATACTAAGCGGGCTTCTTCACATTGCTTCTCTACCAGGCAGTTGCAAACAGACAGAGAAGATAAACGGGTGCGTGAAAAAAAGACCAAGTTTTTTGTCGCTTTGTGCTTTCTTCGGCTATCACCATTTTTGCTTACAAGCTTGACATCTAAATTGTTACTTGGTACTGTAAGCTATTGTATTATGGTGACAGTCTGCCTGCCTGCGGTAGACAACAAGTACTAGTTGTGATGAGAAAAAGGCCCGTGCTTCTGATCAGGCTTGAGGTCTGTTTTTATATACCTCCATTGCTTTTACAACTCTTACCTAAAGACTAAAATGACAGCCAACTAACTTACAGAATATTGATTTATAAATTAGCTTCTTTTATTAGAAGAATAAAATAATTCATATATTCATACCAGGGATGGGCAACTTAAATGGAAGGGGCCATAATATTTTTTGACAGAACTAGAGGACCACACTCTTCACATTTACCCAAATGTAATAAAACTGCTATTTTAAAGATGTTTGTGTACGTATATACAGTATATATATATAAAATAATTCATATATTCATACCAGGGATGGGCAACTTAAATGGAAGGGGTCATAATATTTTTTGACAGATCTAGAGGACCACACTCTTCACATTTACCCAAATGTAATAAAACTGCTATTTTAAAGATGTTTATGTACGTATATACTATAAATATATATATAATATAAAACGGGTAAATTAAGTATTGAACACGTCAACATTTTTCTCAGTAAATATATTACTAGAGGTGCTAATGACTTTTGACAGATCTAGAGGACCACACTCTTCACAT